TCTCATTTACAGGGCGTTCTATTGCCCTCCAGTGGCGAAAACAACAATTACAGGTTATCATTGGTGCCAGTGGCAGATGATCCGTCTGTACGGCAGCGTGTCAGCACGTGTACGGTACTTCAGTGGAGATTATCAGCTCCATCAGAATAATCCCGTTCACCTCAGCAGCTCCTCTCACAGGAAGTTTGACTCTGAACATTGGACCTCACACAGATATGACTTCAGACGCAGGACGTATATATATATCTATTTAAGGCTGAGTTACCGAGGGCTGTTGGCGTCCTGAGGAAGGTGAAACCACTCCTGCAGCTTGGCCTCCTGGCCGACTCCCACCTGTGGACACGGTGAAAACAAAAGAAGCTTCTGTTCCATGCGTTCTGAGTCAGAGCAGCTGGAAATGATTCACACGCAGGTGATTAAAACACACACACACACACACCTTCACCAGGTAGGAACCGGGCTCCACCGAGCACGCCCAGTAGTGTCTGCCCTGCGAGACGGCTACGTCGGCCACCAGGAGGTCAGAGGTCAAATGGCAGGAGGTCAGCGTGCGGTCAGCCACCCGCAGAAGGGAGACGCCGGGCACGCTGCGAGCATAGGTCAGTCCTTTACCCAGAGCCAACCGGTCGGCATGTAAACACCAGCGAGAGTCCAGGGAGAAACTCAGCACTGAGGAGAAAGAAAAAAAAACTGATGCAGTGACTCCCAGTGGCCGCGAGAGGTCATCATATGCAATGTGGGAAATCAGTTTCAATTAATTGGTCTGACGTTTGTCTGTTCGACAGTGACGGGCACAACAATTTAAAACTCTTGTTTAAAGCTCTACCACTAGGCGGCAGCAGAAAGCTATAAAAACTAAAAAAAAATAATGAAGTAATTAAAAAAATTAAAAACAGAAAGACCATCAGTTTCCACCAATCCAACCGTTTAGCGTCATGCTGTAAGGCACGAACACAAACCGCTCCTCCACTGTGTGGCCTGTGGTGATGGTGTCCATCAGTTAAATACATATTTCTTACTTATTCGTTTTAATTTTAGATCAAAAAGTTGAATTTTAATTTTAACCGTTGATTGGTTCTTCTTGTCCTCAGTTAAATACATATTTCTTACTTATTTGTTTTAATTTCAATTTCTTCTTGTCCTTGCATGTTCTCTGCTGGACACGTTTTGTTTTGTTTTTTTTTCTACTTCTGAACGCCATCTGAAACCATCAGTGGGCTGGAGACCAGCAGTACCATGGAGTGTCTCACCAGGTGCCGGTGGAGTGTGCAGGTACACGTCTTCACTGTACTCTCCAAACCCAGCCTTGTTGCAGCCCCTCACCCTCAGCACGTACACACTGTCAGTCTGCAGTCGATCGATCACGGCGCTCGTCCCCCTCACTTCGTCGATCCGCTGCCACGGAGAGGACGAATTGGGGGACCTGGTGCCTCCCCACGACGCCGCGGCTCCTCCTTCTCGCCGCTGGTACTCCACGGAGTAGTGCCAGGCGGGGGCGGAGTCTTGAGGCAGGCGCCAGCACAGAAACAGCTGGTCGTAGGCTAATGTTTTCTGGGTGTCGATGACAGGAGCGAGTGGAGCTGTGGAGGAATAAAAAATAAATACAATAACCTAAAAATATATAAAATAACATACATAAATACAATAATAATAATAAAATAATATAACATTATTTAATATATAATATATATAATAAATTATAGCACAGAAACAGCTGGTCGTAGGCTAATGTTTTCTGGGTGTCGATGACAGGAGCGAGTGGAGCTGTGGAGGAATAAAAAATAAATACAATAACCTAAAAATATATAAAATAACATACATAAATACAATTAAAAATAAATAATAATTAATTTAATTTATTCCTTAAATTTCTAAAACATGGGGTTGAAACAAAAACAATATTAAGTAACAGCATCACTTTCACCAGTAAGAGATGACATTAGAAAATATGACAAAAATATATCAGAAATTATCATTGCAACTCACCGGTACCCTGATTATACAAATAAAACTCAAAAAAAAATTTTTTTTTTTTAAATTATTTTTAACACATCTTTGTTGACCTTTACCTTGTATGAATTTCAGGCTGTTGATGAGCTTAACTTCCTTGGTTGCGTCCAAGGAATAATGTCTGAAGGAGGGATCAGCTGCCAGGGAGAAACACTGCAGGTGTTCGATGGCCTTCAGCAGCCTGTGGAGGAGCAGACACACAGCCACGGAGGATTTTTTTTTTTTTTTTTTTTTAAATGAGGAGAAACAAGTGTTTGGGCTCCACCTAGTCTCCGCCCACTGCTGCTACCTGTTGTGGGTGACTCTGGCGGCCTGGACAAAGCAGGGGGCGTCGGCCTCCTTGAGCAGCTCCTCTGCGTACACCAACAGGCCGGAATGTTCCAGCAGCCCGTTCCTCTCTGAGATCTGAGCTGACAGAGCGTCTTGCCTCTTGCTGCGAGATCCCTCCAGTGCCACAGCTAGCGCTCCCTGGCGCTCTGTTACCGCCGCTCCCATTTCCCTGATGCAGTAGGTCAGTTGCTGCAGAGCTACCGCACTGTTAGCCTGCAGGCAGGATAAAAATGAAAAAGAAAAACAAGAACAACAATTATTAAACCATTTAAAGTTGTTTCTTTTTTTTCATGATATTTGATTGGACGATCATGTTACAGATGAGACATTACAACGATGAAAAGTTGAGCTTTTTGGCAGCAACCAGGGCCACTGATTGCAGTACGGATTTCAACCACTAGAGGGTGTCCTATTACATATTTCTGTCTGAACTTTTACTTTGCTTTGGACCTCGGCAGACCATAAGACAGATGGGATCGAAATACGTCATTAAAACGTAAAGCATCATGGGAGCGACCAAGATGCTAACAAAATGTAGCCTAGCACGCCCGGCCATTTACACAGAGAGAAACAAAAAAAAGTAAGAAAAAATGCGATTAAACCATGACTAATTTTTTAAAGTTTTACTAAGGATGAAGTTCACACTCACTGGTGAGGACATATTGTTGTTTTTAACACTTTTTTTTAAAACTACACCACAGTTAAACTCTGACTCACCTCCGTCTGTTTGATGGCAGCGTCCAGCTGAGTGATCTGGTTCTGTATCGTCTCCTGATTGGCCAGGATGAAGTTGACTTCCTTGGTGATCTTGTCCTGTTGACGGACAACATTTTACAACCACCTCCGGACCAGGACCCTGCCGTCCCCCCCGACCCCCACCCACCCACCCACCCGCTCACCTTCAGGGCCTGGTAGGCCTGTGCCACAGGTAAGACTTTATGTCCGTGGTGGAGGCGGCGGAGCTTGCAGAGCGGACACAGCAGCCTCTGGCAGTTGCGGCAGTACCACAGCGGTCGCTCCTGCTCGTGCTCGGTGCACACCAGGACCTGAAGTCACAAGAAGGAGAACCATGAAGACGCGCTGACACGACCGTGTCACGTACCCGAGCGCAGACGCACCTTTGGCCTGAAGTTGTTGGTGGGAAGAATGTGTTCGTGCTGAGCCCGCGGCGTCCCCCAGGGGTGGTAGAGTTTGAAACACTCGTTGCAGAAGTTGGACTTGCAGTCGGCACAGCCCTTGGTCGCCTCCAGAGACTGGGGCGGTTTACAGAACCCGCACAGGATGGCCACGCTGCCCAGACTTATGGTGTAACTGTACCTGCAGGGGTGGGTGAGGAGACGGGGGGGTGAGAGCAGAAGGCAGGTGAGATGGTGTCTGGTTTTGCCCCGCTCTCCTTTCACTAGTTAGCAGTGGGGGCTGTTAACTACCCCTGACCTGGATTCACGGCCGCAGCTGTCTTGTTAGTGCATTCTGCAAAGTGAAACATGCACCGTCACCGAGGCTGAACCAAAATAAGCACAGCCTCATTAGAGACACTGTGGAAATGACAAACCCCAGAACACTCCCCCCTCCCCCCTCCTCCTCCTCCTCCTCTGTCCCTCACTCTTTACCTCCAAAGCTCTCACCCAGATGTGATGATGAAGCACATTTCTTCTACTTCTTGGTGTATACTGTTTGCTTAGATCTAAACCTCCAGTCTTGTTTTTGTTTTTTTCTGGGTCAAAGCTCAGACTCATTATGTCAGTGTCTTCCTGCAGAGGTTTATAAATCAGTATCGACTGGACTACTTTTCCGTAAGAGGACGTTCCACTTCCTGACTTTAAGATAATTAATATTAGCAGTCCATATAAGGCAGGGGTCACCGACCTGGGGTAAGTTCTAGAAAATAAAACTAGTCAATCAGAGGGTGAGAAACTGTACTGGTGCTGAGCTTTTGGAATCAGTTACAGTTACTGACAATGATATTTAAATGGGTGTCTAGTACTGTACGTCCCAGAACTAGTTATTATTACTTCATTAGGGAAGTCCCACTGTCCTAGCTAACTAGCAGTCTTCTGTCCTAACTAGCAGTCTCCTGTCCTAACTAGCAGTCTTCTGTCCTAACTAGCAGTC